CCTTGCCTGGTCCGTGAGATTTGGTGGGCGGCCCTCTCTTGGCAGGTTTGTTGTGGTGCCATATTCTTTCAATTTTTTAATAATGGATTTAATGGTGCTCCGTGGGATGTTAAAAGTTTCTGATATTTTTTTATAACCCAACCCTGATCTGTACTTCTCCACAACTTTGTCCCTGACCTGTTTGGAGAGCTCCTTGGTCTTCATGGTGCCGCTTACTTGGTGGAGCCCCTTGCTTAGTGGTGTTGCAGTTTTATTTTTCATTTCACTTCACCAATTTTGACTATTTTGTGTATGTCCATTACATGAAATCCAAATAAAAATCCATTTAAATTACAGCTTGTAATACAACAAAATAGGAAAAACGCCAAAGGGGATGAATACTTTTGCAAGCCACTGTACCTATATAAAGTACTGTACATCAAAATATATTTCATTCTTTTCTTTGTAATTTGATAAGATCAGGTTAACTTTTAACTAACATTTGAAATTAAAATCACAGGTGAGTGAATAGATGTCTGAATCATGAAACATATTAGCACACTGATAAATCTCTCTGATAGTTGGCCTCTGGAAATTGGATGATATCCATCACCTGTGGTGTCCATGACTCAAGAATGCATCCATTTTTAATGCTGTTGGACTTGGACTGGATTTCTCTCCCACCTGTAGTTTGGTTCGTGTCTGAAATCCCCTTTGGTTTAACCTTTTCATAAGGTCCTTATAGCAATGTATTTGTTTCTTTCAAGAAAACATTTCAGATGAATGATAATATAAATCTATACATCTAGCATAGATTTATGAGGATCTCCAAAACACAAACTTAGTTTTATTGCATTAAGTTTGCATTAGTTTAACTATCATTACTGTTGATAGCTTAATGAGCTATTAAAAACCAAATACAGTGAGACCTGAAAAATGTAGCTTGCAGATGTTTTGTATCTGAAAATTAAGGTAGTGTAGGAAGGTGTCAGTTTTACAGTACATCACACATCTTACCAGTCTCAATTTGCAGAAATTGTTGAAGCTGTGAGCGCGGCACAGCCGTGGGCTAGGTGTCTGCAAAGGTGTGTGGGGCGAACCAGACAACTGTCAGGTGGTGCTCAATGTGACCCTCTTCCCAGAGTGAGGGAGGCAAAGCCGCTCCCTACAAACGTATTCATCTTCAGGAGCAGATGCGTGGGTTGATGGATCCTGTGGATGCCAAGACACTAATTAAATAAGGAGCGAGCCAGTCTTTGTCTGGAAAAGTACCATGAGTGGAGTTTCGCTTCAATAGTGTGAAAACATTTGAATGTAGGCTACTGATCAAATTGGAAATAGCTGTGTGCTTTGACATTGATGAGCGTGTGCCATTGCCATCGCATCATATGCTGGAATAGGCGTACTGAAAGGGGTAGTCAGTATTTCTTAAGGGCATGACACAGCAGGAGGTAAAGTTAAAAAGGTGAAAAATAGGTTTATTAAATAATAAGTTGACACAAAATTCATGTCAGCAAAATATTTAAAAAAGACTGACAGAAACAAACAAAACACTGAACATAAAGTCAAAGAAGAGGCTTAAGCAGGTATTCCTGCCAAAAGAGTCTACCAGGCTCTAACCAGCCAAACCATCAGCAATTACAACACTGGCAAAACCTCGGCTGTAATTACACACAGGTACTATATAGGACCTCCCTCACGGAATCACCTCTAATTGGAGCATACCAATGTGGCCCTCGATTTGGCACAACATGCTAACTAGCCAACTTAGCTAGCAAAATAACAAAAAATCAGGGTGTAAATTAACAATGATATAGCTGCAAGCAGCAATGAAAGCGGTGTTGAATTATGAGCAGGCTGAAAGTAAGCATGGAAGCATGGAATCATTATACATCATTCCTCATATACATATAACAATTCAAAACACTTATGTGCAACTTGATAGATCGAAGAGAAGTGGAGTTATTAGGGTTTATTTGAGGGGTTTATTTTCTCTCTAATCTTTTGATGTATTGTTTGGTTTTTCTCTAACTTACTAAAGACAGACATGGTTAAAATACATGCTGAGGTTGGAGTCCATGAGTCTATGGTTTATGAGAAGAAGATTTTTGAAGATTTGATATTAAAATCCTATAAGGCGGACCTCATGGGCAAATGTGTTCCTCCTCCCCATATGCTGGCAAGTGGCAACATGAGCTCTTGGAGGAGGAGTGGGAGAAATCACCATGCTCTAACAACCTTTAACCTTAAAGAGAGTAGTTATAGAAACACAACATTATATACCAAGTTTCGTGGTTGTACCACAGAGTTTCTAAACCCAGAGGCGCAACATCACAAGACTTCCGGGAACGCTTGCGAAACAGATCAAGCAGACCAGGCTGGGGTTTGAGAAGTCAATGAGAGAAGTGAACAATTCTTCATTAGTTCTTAATTTTTACTTGAACATGTTATTACTCCAACCTCGTGAAAGTGACAAACTCACATGTTTTAAATTGTCAAATACTGTACAACTTTATATCGAAGGAGTGCGTTTCATTTGACGGCCTGCACATGCGCTGTTCGGCGCGAGACTAGCGTTAGACCCAATTATGTGTTTCTGCGCATGAGTTTAGCTAGCCAACGTCGCCATGACATCGCCTACAAGCATTATTGGGATTTCTATTCGAGAAGCAGTTTCTGCCTATCTTCATACTGTGCTGTCTTTGGTTGTACGTTGAACGGGGTGGAGGGGCTGAGCCTTAGCCTTTGAGTGTTTATTACAATGCCACCTATGGGCCAATCTGTGTATCTCTTAGTTTTTTTTCAAACTTAGTTATGATTGACATGATTAACACAATTCTGAGTTTGGAGTCCATTAGGTGTACGGTTCAAGAATATTATATTTGTGAAGATTTTATCAAAAATGCAATATGGAGGGAAAATCCAGTATGGCGGACCTCATTGGTCCTTGAGGCAAATTTGTTCCTTATGATTAGAAACACATACAGTGCATTCGGAAAGTGTTCAGACCCCTTCCTTGACTTCTTCCACATTTTGTTACGTTACAGCCTTATTCTAAAATGGATTAAATAGTTTTTTTCCTCATCAATCTACACACAATACCCCATAATGACAAACCAGAGAGGTTTTTAGAATCTTTTGCTAATTTATAAAAATATAGAAATATTACATTTATATAAGTATTCAGACCCTTTACTCAGTCCTTTCTTGAAGCACCTTTTTGCAGCGATTACAGCCTCGAGTCTTCTTGGGTATGACGCTACAAGCTTGGCACACCTGTATTTGGGGAGTTTCTCCCATTCTTCTCTGCAGATCTGCTCAAGCTCTGTCAGGTTGGAGGGGGAGCGTCGCTGCACAGCTATTTTCAGGTTTCTTCAGATATGATCGATCGGGCTCTGGCTGGGCCACTCAAGGACATTCAGAGACTTGTCCCGAAGCCACTCCTGGTTTGTCTTGGCTGTGTGCTTAGGGTCAATGTCCTGTTTGAAGGTGAACCTTCGCCCCAGTCTGAGGTCCTGAGCACTCTGGAGCAGGTTTTCATCAAGGATCTATCTGTACTTTGCTCCGTTCATCTTTACCTCGATCCAGACTAGTCTCCCAGTCCCTGTTGCTGAAAAACATCCCCACGGGATGATGCTGCCACCACCATGCTTCACCGTAGGGATGGTATTGGCTAGGTGATGAGCGGTGCCTGGTTTCCTCCAGGCGTGACGCTTGGCATTCAGGCCAAAGAGTTCATTCTTGGTCTCATCAGACCAGAGAATGTTGTTTCTCATGGTCTGAGAGTCCTTTAGGTGCCTTTTGGCAATCTCCAGGCGGGCTGTCATGTGCCTTTTACTGAGGAGTGACTTCCGACTGGCCACTCTACCATAAAGGCCTGATTGGTGGAGTGCTGCAGAGATGGTTGTCCTTCTGGAAGGTTCTCCCATCTCCACAGAGGAACTCTGGAGCTCTGGCAGAGTGACCATCGGGTTCTCCCTGACCAAGGCCCTTCTCCCCCGATTGCTCAGTTTGGCTGGGCGGCCAGCTCTAGGAAGAGTCTTGGTGGTTCCAAACTTCTTCCATTTAAGAATGATGGAGGCCACTGTATTCTTGGGGACCTTCAATGCTGCAGAAATGTTGTGTTACCCTTCCCCAGATCTGTTCCTCGACACAATCCTGTCCCCGTATGGCTTGGTCTTTGCTCTGACATGCACTGTCAACTGTGGGACCTTATATAGACAGGTGTGTGCCGTTCCCAATCATGTCCAATCAATTGAATTTACCACAGGTGGACTCCAATCAAGTTGTAGAAACATCTCAAGGATGGTCAATGGTAACAGGATGCACCTGAGCTCAATTTCGAGTCTCATAGCAAAGGGTCTGAATACTTATGTAAATAAGGGATTTCTGTTTCTAAAAACCTGTTTTTGCTTTGTCGTTATGGGGTATTGTGTGTAGATTGAGGAGGGGAAAAAAGTATTTAATCAATTTTAGAATAAGGCTGTAACGTAACAAAATGTGGATAAAGTGAAGGGGTCTGAAACTTTCCAAATGCACTGTATATACCAAGTGTTTATTAGTATTTTTTTTACGGTATCCAATTGCTAGTTACAGTCTGGTCCCATCGCTGCAACTCCCATATGGACTTGGGAGAGGCGAATGTCGAGAGCCGTGCGTCCTCCGAAACACAAACCAGCCGAGCCGCACTGCTTCTTGATGCAATGCCCGCTTAATGTGTCAGAGGAAACATCGTACACCTGGCGACCATGTCAGCATGCACTGCGCTCGGCCCGCAACAGGAGTCACTAGTGCATGATGGGACAAGAACATCCCTGCCGGTGCCATCTTGAGACCTGTGATGTTTGCTAGTCTTTCATCAGCAAAGTCGGCAAATCTCTCCAAATGCATTATAATGCCCAGGCCTTTTTGTGTAAGCACAACATAACCAGGTCAACATGTCCAGAGAGACCCAGGCTGTTTGTACAGTAATTACAATGAGATTGCCACTCAGGGTTGTTTGTGGACGTTTATCAGCCTGCATGTCTCTGCCCAGCACGGCAGAGCCTGTACCTAAGGTGAGGATCGATGATGCCTCTTGAATAGGCCTTTGAAGCACTTATTATTCACGATGAGTTCCAACCACTTGTAATTCAAGTAGAGTGGGCAGCTTTGTCCCACAGTTTTCCCATTGTTTCTCACCAACATACGTGCCCCCTAACTCAGGCTGTGCGGCGTGGAGGGCCTCTACTGACACTGGGAGGAGTGGAGAGAAAGAAAGAAAGAAAGAAAGAAAGAAAGAAAGAAAGAAAGAAAGAAAGAAAGAAAGAAAGAAAGAAAGAAAGAAAGAAAGAAAGAAAGAAAGAAAGAAAGAAAGAAAGAAAGAAAGAAAGAAAGAAAGAAAGTCTATGTCCTGGCCGCAGCATCCAAGAGGGGGAGGAATGTGGAGGTCTTGGCTGGCTGCCATGCTATTCGGCTGATGTCTCCGTCAGTATGGGAGGCCCTTTGCTTTTCCCTTTACAGTGAAATGTAACACAAGATGGCATACCCCCTACTTGTCAGCGAGTGAAAGAGGACCAAGGAGAGAATGCACTTGTTGCAAAGGTCTCTGTAGCACCTGCGATGATACAGAGGTAGACCAGCGGAGCGTGGCGAGAAAGGGACACACGTGAGTAATGACGGATTAAAGAGTTATGTCACAGCGTGAAACCCTGTGTCCACACAGCATTCCCAGCCAATGCAAATTTCTCACAATAGTCCCCTCGGCAGAATGAAGGGAGAGGCAGAGGAGAGGAGTTTGACCGACAGCCGTTTGGCTATGAGCCAGGAGGAACAGCGGCGCCCCTGCCAACTGTCATTATCCATGGAGTGAATTTACCACCAGAGTGCTGCCTCATAGGCCTAAACCACATACCTGTCCTGGAGTAAGTTGTCACAGTGGAGGAGCAGACTTTCTCTTTTTGTTTTGTTTTTCAGTAGAATCTCTGGCCTCATGGGGGAATGGTTCCTCAGAGCAGGCAAACTGACTAGGGTGGGGTTAGGGATACAGCCACTGTCTTGATTGTGCGTCAGAGGGAATGCTTTTATAGAAAGGAAGGACTGGTGTGATCTACTATTGCAAAATCGCATTACTTTAACTTTAATTAATGTATGAAGTATTCCTCTCACCATACTGAATCACACACATAAAATATGTGTTTCATTTAAAGGATTTTCTCATAGCTTTTGTGAAGTACAGTATGAGATAAGGTACAATCTGTCATTGTCTTGTGTTCTTCTGACTACAGGCAATCCTCCTCCCCATATGGTGGCAACAGGAGCTCTAGGTGGAGAAAGCACCTTTGATCTTAAAGAGAGTGGCAGACATACCGTAAAGGAGCAGTCAAGTTCAGGACCCCCACCCCAGGGAAGAAGACCTCATAGTGCCCCTGTCTCTGGACTCAGGTACCCAGAACTATAGTGTGTTTCCACCTCATCTATACCATCCCCAAGTCCCATCTACTGTAGTGTAGTGTATTACTGCACATATGACCATTACATACTGTGTAGGAGGAGATTAATTCCAACAATTTGATTAGATTTTACAATACTAAAGAACAAATCCTCGAAATATTAACTTAATGTAATAAAATAAATGTTAGGATCATTTTACATTTTGACATGACGTGTACAGTAGGCATGGTGTGTGTGTATGAAAGTTGTTTTATTTCTCTATATTATTTCCTGTCTTTATTAAGAATCAAATCTGCTGGAAAGCTTCCCATCTTCCTGCGCCAGCCACAAACAATCAGAGTGATTTCCTACAAGAATGGAACAAGACAAACCTCTGCTAAAGTCACAGCTTCTGACATTACCACTGTGAAGATCCTCTCTACCTCATTCACAAATGTTTTCTTGAAAAGACTAAAACCTTGACATTTTGTAGTTCTTCAAAGCCCCCTTGAATCCTAATGATACTTGATATTTCAGCTTCTGGAGGAGTGCACATCTAAACTGAAGCTGAACTCTGCAGCCAGAAGGATATTCCTGTCTGACGGTATAGAGGTTTTTCTAGCTGAGGACCTGGCCAATGACTCAGAGGTGTTCGTCTCAATGGGAGAGGCCTTCCTGGAACCACAGAGAGAAATACGAGGTATGGAGCCGCAAGCTAAACCCACAGCACTGCTTTCATCAATAGGGGAGAGTGGTTAATCACTATTCAGCCATAGGGGAGCTGAAGAGATGACAAGATTTTTGGCAAGGAGCTCTACTGAGGTTAACACAATACCCTTATTAGCATCAGATTGGATTTGAATCTAAATGGTATTTGTATTTCTTCAAATAACATGCATGGGACAAAATTAGGTATAAATTGTCATTTCTAAATAACAATGAATGAAATGTTCAATCAAAGAAAATACTATACATCCAGTTACAAAGAACACCTGATTAGAAACCCTATTGAGATGTTCCTCTAGTAATTTTTTTGTAGAAAGGGGTTTCAAAAGTTCATGTGCCATTTATCCTGCCCCTGGAGATGCTAAAACTGTGCCATCCGACAGCTAAGTTTATTTATGAACCCTTTGTTGAGCGCCAAGTTGAAGCCCGGAACTTCTGTGCTGCAGCTGTGTTTCCTTGGCTGGGTTTCATGGCGACACGCACTGCTGTTCTCTGAGCGCCATGATGCCGGCGCCGTTGGCACGACGCACCGAGGCTTTGCACCGGCTCTTTGCTGGATCAGCAAGCTTAACCCAGCGAAATCTGGTGCAGCACGATGGGTTTTGACTGATAATCAATCTTGCATGCTCCTCGACAGTTGTCACTGGGACAGGGAGTGGAGCAGGTGGCAGATGGGCCCTGTCTGCAGAGACCCAAGCCGCTAGGTGTGTGTGTGTGTGTGTGCCCAGGCCGGGCAAAGTGGAGGGCACAGCCCAGAATTAGCACACCTCAGATAGGAACTGGGAGGAGAAGAGGGTCCTAGCAAACTCAGAGTAGGGGATAATATATACAATAATCTATAGTTATCTGGGGTGACAAAACTAGGCCTATGGTTTGCCCACTGGGCACAGACATCAATTCAACATCTATTCCACGTTGGTTCAACGTAATTTCATTGAAATGACGTGGAAACAAAGTTGATTCAACCAGTGTGTGCCCAGTGGGTGGTGTCACGTATATTGGACACTTTATAAGTTTAAATTAACTTTAGATTTCTTGTACTGTATCTGGAGAAATGATCTAACACATTTTCTATATTTTGATCCTTGTCTTTGATTCATTTTCCATATTGATTCAGTGAGTTTGAAGGGCTTCAAAGCAGGAAAGAAAAGACGACCTAAGTTAATCATGGGTGATTCCAAGCCAGGAAAGGCCGAAAATATTTTTGGTATCTCCGATTGTTTAGACAATTTTCACATAGAAAATTCATTGCGAGGAAGGATGTTTGACATGCTTTTTACATTTGTATCACAAACACTTTTTGAGAAAATCAAGATGAAAGTGGCCACTTTAGGCCTTTTTTAGACCTACAGTATACAGTACATGCCTCCAGTAAGAACCTATGATTAGGGCTCTAAAGTGCGACCATTTAGGTTGCATATGCTCCTAGATATTTAGCTGTGTGACCTGACATTTTATATTGGGAGCATCCAATGCGAGTTTTCTAGCAAGTTTTCTGCAGTTCTACACATTTTACCATGTCAATATTACAACACATTTCATGCAATTCTACTCATTTTACAATGGGGCAGAGAGACATTTTTGCAGTTTTAAAGCACATTTCCTGCAATTCTACCCATTTTGCCATGGCTTATGCCATGATATCTGAGGGAGAGTGACTAACAAAATCAATGGGGGCCCACTGGAGGTCAGGGCCCCTGTGCATGTGCACTGTGTGCCCGGTCGGTATTCAGCCATGATTACCACAAGTTTAGATTACTGGCTAGACTTACATACCAATCTAAAAATTGTGACTGACAAAACAAGATAAAAACTGCTGATGCACAACCAAATGTTGAACTTTCACCTTGTGTATTTTACTATTCTTACTCTCAACAGTAAGTTCAATCCCCCCAGGGGCCCTAAGCGATGGCGTATGCCTGGAGCCGGCCATGATAAAGAATGCATCAGTGATTTGTATTTCTTGCAACTTTCTGAAGACGTAATGGCATGGGAATGCCAGTAGGCAGGTTTCAATTGACCCAGGTTTATTCGACAAAAGCAATGTCGCAAAAAAATCTTCGACGTGTAATGGAAATGGCAGATATAGGAAGATCGACAAAAAATGTATCCGTTCAACAGGGGTGTATTTTTCTTCTAACTTTCTTTATTGCGACAAATTACGATGGAAACTGTGTTTTTCGAATAAAGGATGATTGCCGAATCATTTCGAAGGTACGCAGGGCACGTGATGTCACTGTGTAATTATAAAGCTCCACTCCACAATTAATTCTAAATGCCTACGTCTTGCAAAATCAATTTTTTCAACTATAAAAATAATGCTTCTTTGCAGAACAAGGATTGTCCTGACTTTCAAGAAAGCCTGAATTGATTCGCCTTGCTTTTCTGGTTGGCTGGCAAGTTTCACCATCCAATTATTTCAGATCTACAGGAGTGCAAGTTTCACGATGGCAAGGACCGTGGCGATAGGTTGGCACATGAGAATTATTACAATATGGCAAATATGAGTCAATAATTGCATTTGATCCATGCTGGCTTGATGCATGTTACCTGAGACATGAAACAGAAAGGTGGGAGGGCATACAGGCTGTCACCAATTTATTAATGCGCAATTTGCCTACATGGGTAATGGAAACACTTCAACCACTACATTTTAATTTGACACTGTTGTATCTTGCTAAAACATTTTTTTTTTATACAGTTGTAGTCAGAAGTTTACATACACTTAGGTTGGAGTCATTAAAACTCATTTTTCAACCACTCCACACATTTCTTTTTAACAAACTATACTTTTGGCAAATCGGTTAGGACATCTACTTTGTGCATGACACAAGTAATTTTTCCAACAATTGTTTACAGACAGATTATTTCACTTATAATTCACTGTATCACAATTCCAGTGGGTCAGAAGTTTACATACACTAAGTTGACTGTGCCTTTAAACAGCTTGGAAAATTCCATAAAATGATTTGTCATGGCTTTAGAAGCTTCTGATAGGCTAATTGACATCATTTGAGTCAATTGGAGGTGTACCTGTGGATGTATTTTAAGGCCTACCTTCAAAATCAGTGCCTCTTTGCTTGACATCATGGGAAAATCAAAAGAAATCAGCCAAGACCTCAGAAAAAAGATTGTAGACTTCCACAAGTCTGACTCATCCTTGGGAGCAATTTCCAAACACCTGAAGGAACCACGTTCATCTGTACAAACAATAGTACGCAAGTATAAACACCATGGGACCACGCAGCTCTCATACAGCTCAGGAAGGAGATGTGTTCTGTCTCCTAGAGATGAACGTAGTTTGGTGAGAAAAGTGCAAATCAATCCCAGAACAACAGCAAAGGACCCTGTGAAGATGCTGGAGGAAACAGGTACAAAAGTATCTATATCCACAGTAAAACGAGTCCTATATCGACATAACCTGAAAGGCCGCTCAGCAAGGAAGAAGCCACTGCTCCAAAACCGCCATAAAAAAGCAAGACTACGGTTTGCAACTGCACATGGGGACAAAGATCGTACTTTTTGGAGAAATGTCCTCTGGTCTGATGAAACAAAAATTAGAACTGTTTGGCCATAATGACCATCGTTATGTTTGGAGGAAAATGGGGGCGCTTGCAAGCCGAAGAACACCATCCCAACTGTGAAGCACGGGGGTGGCAGCATCATGCTGTGGGGGTGCTTTGCTGCAGGAGGGACTGGTGCACTTCACAAAATAGATGGGATCATGAGGAAGGAAAATTGTGTGGCTATATTGAAGCAACATGTCAAGACATCAGTCAGGAAGTTAAAGCTTGGTCGCAAATGGGTCTTCCAAATGGACAATGACCCCAAGCATACTTCCAAAGTTGTGGCAAAATGGCTTAAGGATAACAAAGTAAAGGTATTGGAGTTGGTATCACAAAGCACTGACCTCAATCCAATAGAACATTTGTGGGCAGAACTGAAAGGGCGTGTGCGAGCAAGGAGGCCTACAAACCTGTCAGGAAGAATGGGCCAAAATTCACCCAACTTATTGTGGAAACGTTTGACCCAAGTTAAACAATTTAAAGGCAATGCTACCAAATACTAATTGAGTGTATGTAAACTTCTGACCCACTGGGAATGTGATGAAATAAATAAAAGCTGAAATAAATCATTCTCTCTACTATTATTCTGACATTTCACATTCTTAAAATAAAGTGGTGATCCTAACTGACCTAAGACCAAGGAATGTTTACTAGGATTAAATGTCAGGAATTGTGAAAAACAGAGTTTAAATGTATTTGGCTAAGGTGTATGTAAACCTCCGACTTCAACTGTAGGTGTGGCGTCATTACGTCCAGCTGTTTTCATCGACACATGATAGTTACATGGAAACGCACCCTAGCAGGCAATTGTCTATTTTCTATGCAAAAGTTCTGAATGTCAACAAAAAATCATTGGACAAGTTAATGCTTGTGTCTACCACTTTGTGTAGCCAGTTAGCGTCGAAACAGTCATTTCTAAGTAGGCTTACCTGGCAGAATTACAGTGCTATGAAAAAGTATTTGCCCCCTTTCTAATTTTCTCTACTTTTGCATATTTGTGATACTGAATGTTATCAGATCTTCAAACAAAACCTAATATTAGATAATGGGAACATAAGTGAACAAATAACACAACAATTACATATTTATTTCATTTATTTCATAAACAAAGTTATGCAACACACCAATTCCCCTGTGTGAAAAAGTAATTGCCCCCTTACACTCAATAACTGGTTGTGCCACCTTTAGCTGCAATGACTCCAACCAAATGCTTCCTATAGTTGTTGATCAGTCTCTCACGTCGCTGTGGAGGAATTTTGGCCCACTCTTCCATGCAGAACTGCTTTAACTCAGTGACGTGTGGGTTTTCAAGCATGAACTGCTCGTTTCAAGTCCTGCCACAACATCTCAATTGGGATTAGGTCTGGACTTTGACTAGGCCATTCCAAAACTTCAAATGTGTTGCTTTTTAGCAATTTTCATTTTTGTGTGTTTTGGATCATTGTCTTGCTGCATGACCCAGCTGCG